TTGAAGCAAGGAGCCAATTATCACCAGCTTGTTAAGAAGTTTGGTCTTCAAAAGGACCAAAACGGCATTGTGAGGTGCAAGGGTCACCTAGAATATTCCAAATTACGCCCAGATGCAAGAGATCCGATTATTCTACCCAAAGAGCATCCAATGACTCTTTTACAAGTCCAGGAATGTCACACGCAAGTTCTTCATAGTTGTGTAAGAAGTACGCTTGCCGAGCTGAGGACTAGGTTGTGGGTGACAAAGGGGAGGCAGGTTGTAAAATCTGTTCTTAATCATTGGGTCGTGTGCAAGAAGATGGAAGGAAAGTCATTAGGTCCGCCCTCAACAGCAAGCCTGCCAGACTGGAGTGGATTTTGCAGGACCTTCATTCGTGAAAGATAAGAGCAATGAGATGAGAAAAGTTTATGTTGCACTGTTTACTTGCTGCGTGACGAGAGCTGTCCATTTAGAATTAGTAGAGGATTTGTCCGTATAAACCTTTAAGCGCTGCCTAGGAAGGTTCATCGCTAGAAGGGGAGTACTGACGTTGATTGTTTCAGATAACGCAAAAACCTTAAAAGGCATCGAGAAGGAACTGCCCTTGCTTTTTAACCACCCACAAGTCAAAGACGAGATGCAGAACAGACGAATTCAATGGTGCTTCAATTTGGAACAGGCTCCCTCGTGGGGAGGATTCTTTGAGAGGCTGATAGGGAGTGTTAAAAGATGCCTGCGAAAGGTGCTTGGCAATGCCCGACTTTCATTTGACGAACTGTTAACTGTCACGAGCGAGGTAAAGGCAGCGTTGAACTCTAGACCTTTGACATATGACTACAACATTCCAGGTGAGGAACTATTGACACCTGCGCATGTACGGGAGAAGACTCACCACTCTTCCCAGATCTCAACAAGTTGAAGAAGACATCAGTTGTAGAAAGAGGTACAGGCATGTGAATGAACGGTTAGAGCATTTCTGGACAAGGTGGCACAGAGAGTGTTTGACAGATCTGAGAGAGAGTCACAACTGTAACGCTAAGAGGGCATGAAAGGAACCAAAGGTAGGTGATGTGGTAATTGTGTTTGAGGATGGAGCAAAGAGAAATAGTTGGAAGATGGCGGTGATAGAGGAACTCGTTCACTGAAGGGACAACAAGGTAAGGGGTGCAAATGTAAGGGTGGTGACTAAGGGAAAAACTCTTTGTTTGAGCAGACCTTTACAAAAGCTTCACCCTATCGAAGTCCGGGAGAGTTCTACAGACGTGCCTAGGAGTCGAGAGAGGCAGGGACAATGCGAAAGAACGTTGCAAAAGCGTTACTCCTTGCCGAGCTGTGGCCTGGAAAATACGAGAAATGATGAACCAGCCGGACGACTAGTACGGTTATTTTTGTCACATTATCTTGACTCAAAATTGAGTCAAGCGTGGGGGGAGTGTCGCAAATAGTACGCATTTTGTAACGCAACGAGCACTCCATTGCGTGATTTTAAGGGAAATTTATTTATTTATTTATTACAGATTCACTCCACTGCATAACAAGCAAATAATGAAATGAAATAAACTAACACTACTTCAACAAACAAAAAAACAAACAAACAAAAAAAAACAAAAACAAAAACAAACAAAACAAAACAGTTGTGGAGTTGTGGAGAAGGAGACAACCAAAAGCACCAATGCGCCATACTAGGGATGCCCCCACGAAATTGTAATTATCGCTAGAGTTTGCATGCAATGGATTAAACCGGACGTCAATGACTGCACGCCATGGTTAATATTGATAGATAAATGCTTAGTTGTATTCTATAATCTATAGCTGAGGCATATAACAGAGTCATTGTTTCTCATATGTATTGCGTGTTGCTGAAACCTTAGAACTGTATTTGCTCTATTTAGGATAAGTGATAGTAGAAGAAAGGGCGGACTGTGGAATGTTGTTGTTGAGTATACATTGATTGTAGAACGTGTGCCTCGAAGATGAGAAGTTGGGAATAAAATATACGGTCCTCTTATTGTGAATGTGGATATTCCTGAACACGTCATGCATGCCAGGTAACTTAAATTTCACGTTTCATATCCTACCATTGTTTTTCAATTAATTGGTCTTAAGTAACCAAAATGTAGGGAAATCACCGATACCCTGGCCAAATACTTGAAACCTGGCCATTTTTTCAGTTTTTGTTTAAAACTTCTGACAATTGCGCAAAACATTGCTTAAAAGTGTCCACACATTTTGTTCAAACGGCAAAGTGGTTGCTCAATCGGTTTTTGAGATATTGCTGCTAAAATTTTTGCCTTACGATCTATGCATACCGTCATCAACATTGGTGAACCTTGATCTTTAGGTAAAAACATATACTCAACAAGGCCTTATGGTTTAATGAGCGTTGGATATGTCATCTATCATTTACTACACTAAACAAATCTCAAATTTGAGGCTTTTAGCTTGTTTTTTGTTCCAGATATGGCATTTTTAAACAAGGTAAGGTATTCGTGCATCTTACATGCCGTAAATTTCCAAGGAAGGTTTGGTAGCAAGCCAAGGTAGGGGAATCACAAAGATTTTCAATTCTAAAATGTTCAGTTTTAACATATATTTAGGGGCTACAGCGACAAATGTAGGATACCGGACGTTGCTAATTCGTGAAATATCAAGAATGAATTCTTGCCCTTGCATTGTTTCTGATTTATTCCCCTTTGATTGTAAAAAAGGTAGGGAAATCACCAAAAAAAGGATACCGATCTTAGGAACGTTGCCACTGCCTGCAAATTAAAGGCAAAATGTTAACATTCTGATATAATGTTACGCATAGATAGACACACGTCATAATAAAATTACAAGTTCATTGGTTAAATATTGTTCAAGATACACAAGACACAAATTGCAGTCTTCAAGGGACACTTCAAGGACATCTACATGACTGTACATGACTACGTTTGGTGACGCATATACGTAGTTACCTTTGTTCAACGGCCTTGTGGGGTAAGTAGCTTTCTTGTGCTCCTACAAAATCATCTTTCTTTACCCATTCAAGGCCAGGTACAAGCAATGCAACCACCAATAAAGGTATACAAGGTGATCGAATACTTTTCCATGACATTTTTGTTCCATGATAGACAGTTGCTTGTGCGCTGTCACTGAATAATATAATGTTCATGAAACATTTATTTATGTTAATTAAGTTCCTTAAATAACTTAATATTAATGTAATCTGGGGCTTCCGATTTTGCTCAGATTAGCTAGGTCACGATCCAAAGAATCTGTAAATAACAATTTTGTAATAGAACTGTCACGAATTAATGAGTTATGACCTCATTTACGGTCAAACATCCCACGTTAATCGCAACTGAGGTGTCATGAGCACGATTCTCACCCGGGACTCTGAAATTTTTTCGGAGTTCAGGTTTAGAATTCTTCTTCTTTAGTAATCATGCAAAACTTGGTTGAAAATAGTTTTAATCTCTAAGAGCTATTGGCGATTTAAGTTTTTTCCAAAACTGGTCACGTGTCATTTTTCTCGTCAAACTGAGGCAAAACTTCGAGCTTTAATAAAAGCTGGACGTTTTAACAAATTTACTCAGAATTCGCAATTTCCTAGTTTCACTGAGAATTTGTGTGTTGAGAAACCCAGGGGGGCCTCCTTTCCGGGGGAGAGGCTATGTGTATAAGATGCGTATATGTCCTCACTAGGTAAGCACATTGTGCTAATTTTGCCATTTTTCTTTCTTTTCACAGTTGTTCATCAGTCTCTTCACTTTCTCATTTATCAAGTGTTTCCTTGTTGCATAAGTGGCCTGTCATAGCAGGGATGTAGCTCAGAAAAATGCATGCATCAGGTGTATAGCCAGGACGATGCATCCAAGAGAAGTGCACACATCCTGATGTGCCATACCTCAAGAACAGCTGAACAACAGTACATGCTAAATCGTCTGGCTGATGCAGCCGTTGAGGGCCACCAAGTGCTAACGGAGAACATTGGGTTGACTGAAGCAACTCCGACCGTAGTCACCACATCCAAGTCTGCCAATACAGAAGGTGAGAAGACAGGAGAGTCAGACGACCCAGAAACATCACCAGGTGGATTCACGAAGCAGCAGCAAGACGATATTAATTTGCTCTTTGCACATAAAATTCACACCAATGGCCCATTGAGCCTCCATGAGACTCGCAACTTCATGAGCGAAAGTCTTAACCTCACGAGTCTTGTCAAAGACCCTGAAATGGTGGCCAAGGTCTACAAGAGAGTAAAATATCTCCAACGAAAATACGCCGATGAAGGTATCAAAGCAGTGCCAGAACAAGACAGCGAAGAAAAAACAGCCGAGTGGCTGGAAAAGTCGAGTGGAACATCAACTACAAAAGGAAGGTTTGTGTGGAGCCCCGAAGACGTGGAGGTCATCGAGAAAGAGTTCTCAGATTGCAACGATTTTCCGAAAAAGGCCTTTATCCTTAATGCCTTCCGTTCGCGAGCCAACCTGAAAAGCATCTTAGAACGTCTTGGCGAACGCAGATGCTATGAGAAAGTTAAAACCATTTTCAGATTTAAAGGAAAAAAATAGATGATGACACTTTAGGAAAAATCCTGACGTATGTATCAACGTGAACTGTGTCGGCATGTATCTCAACGGCAAGTGTAGGACCAATGTTAGCGAAATGTTTATTAAAACGTTGTTGTTAAAAGCTATCGTCTGTGTAAGTGAATAGTTCTCAGCTTTAAAGCTTTCTTCACCCCCCCCCCCCAAAAAAAAACTAATAGAATCAAATCATAGACAATGCGTAAATGCGTGCCTGAACAAAGAACTAGAGACTACAATTAAAAGAAATACAAGATACAGGCATTTAAGGTAGAGCATAAATTTAACCCTAACCCCTCATCTTGGATTTTCCCAAAGGGGTTAGCCTATGATTTTCGGTCAAAATTTCCAAATTCTTTAAAGTTTGTCTCTTGTCAAATTGGACCTGGAAATGATGTTTGGTGATGTTCTAGAGAGGTGGGAAGGTCATCTTGACCATATTTCGAGATGTCAATATTGGGCAGCCACCATCTTGGATTTTTTCCAAAGGGGTTAGCCTATGACTTTTGGTCAAAATTTCAAATTTCTTTAAAGGTTGTGTATTGTCAAATTGGACCAGGAAATGATGTTTGGTGATGTTCTACAGAGGTGAGAAGGTTATCTTGACCATATTTGGAGATGTCCAATTTCGGAACCCGCCAGCTTTGACTTTTTGGTTCTTTTTTGATGCCTTTCGAACATAAAAATATGCATCTGTTCAAAAATTCTACTCTTCAGTTTTTTTACCCAAATAAAAAACTAATACAATCAAATCGTAGACAATACATAAATGCGTGCCTGAAAAAAAAAATTAGAAACTACAGTTAAAAGAAATACAAGATACAGCCATTTAAAGTAAGGCATAAATCCAAGTCAAAGGCTAATTTCCAAAAATTTTTAAATGCTTAAAAAAATTTTTTTAGATCTACTCTCCCCATAATTGTAGGGTGAAGAGCAACAATCTGACACCCATTAGAATAATTTCCCTGGCAAAACAAAAAACCTCCAAGACATTAAAAAACAAAGGTAGGGAAATCACCGAAAAGTGCAGGGAAATCATCGACAGGTAGCGAAATCACTGAAAAATGTAGGGAAATCACCGAAGATCCTCACCCTTCCCCTTCCCCTCACCCTTTGTGTTACCCTTACCCTCGTTTTAGCAACGCCAAAGAGAAGATGGGGGCAATTATGAACCGTCTCGCCTCAGAGGGCTTATAACGAGCTTCAATTGTCACATGAAAAATGTGAAGTATTCAAAGAGCATCATCGAAGATTGAGAGTTTGAGCAAACAAGGAGGTAGATGCTTGTTGCAAACACCTTAATAAAAAGAAGGCAGGAGAAACAGAATTTGAAGCCGAGGCTATTAGCAATGAGGAAGAAAGTGTTCTTATTTAGAGTAACATACTTGGAATCTTGAGTGCTGAGGCTTTAATCAACACGGTCTGGCTGATGAATTCAACCCATTTTGGATTGAGAGGCTGTGATAAACATCGTCAAATGTGCTGATCAGATGTGAAACTTCTGAACGATGCCTATAGACTGAATATTTAGAACATTGTGTGTCAAACCAAAACAAGAAGTGGTGAAGAGCCTAATTAGCCAAGTTAAACCTAAAGCTTTTGCTAGGCCAGACGGCCCACCCGAAAAAGACCCAGCTTTTGTCTACAAATTCTACTCTGAGAAAAGACCCAGCTCAATGCAGAGAGTCGAAGTACCGTACTACCTTGGCATAAATCACAGCAAAGACTCAGTAAATGCTGGTTCAATGGGAGTCAATAAACTTACGTTGTTAATGAAAACAATGACAGGAAAAGCTAGCTTCGAGTGACAACTAACCAACCATAGCATGCAAAAGTGAATGATGCAAAAACTGAACAATAAAAATGTCCCTCCAACACACATCATGCAGCTCCCTGGTCAACGAAATTTGCAGTGTTAACAGTTACAGCAGTTTGTCAATATAGTGGCAGAAAAACATGTCATTGCAGCCTAGTCCCTAGGCGTTCTCTCTTGACCCATTGTCTGCTCGAAGTCTGGGAAAGAGCGGGCGAGAGAACGCCTAGCCAATATTGGCAAAATATCCCTGATTTTAGCGCAGTTTTACCCCTGGTCACATTTCAGGAGTTTGTAGAGCTCCATTTTGGAAAACCTGCCCGGCAATAGTATGGATGTGTCTGTTGCAGTGTCTGCTTTGAATGATAAGTTCTAACTTTGTAGCATATTATTTTTTCTGGTTAACATTTTGTTCGTCGTGGTGGATTGTTTACGGTCAAAGATTCTCCTAGTCTACAACTCAAGCTAAAATTCTCCTCGACTGCAAATTTTCTTTAAACACTTACATATACATTTTTTTCGACTCAGAGTGGGAGTATGATAGCGGGGAAAGTGATTTAGAGCTTATTAGTCATCCACTGTGCGGCCACCCGAAAGGTAAATTCAATTTCTGTTTTTCTACAAGTGATTGTATTTTCATTTTACATACTCGAAAGTATCTCGATGTGGTTTTATTGAGCAACATTTTATAATTTTCAGGAAGTTCCCCTCCTCGAAAACTTGTTTGTCCTGTCAGAACACCAAAGAAGCTGAAGAAGGCATCGATGAAGCTACAATCGGTGACAAAATTGTTGAGACATTGTACTTAAATCGGGTGACTTCGGAGAACAAACCAATCCGCACCCTCCCCTGTCCCCTCCATTCAAAGTTGGGGTGTTTGTTGTTTTCTATAGGTAGCTAGAACAAGGGCACAACATTGTACGGAGGGGATGGGGGAGGAAAGCTATATTTCCTCCTTTTGAAGTTCATAAAATGTAAAAAAGCCTAATTTTGGGCGAAGTGTCTCAACTCATTTTGTCGCCGATTGTCTGAATCGAAATCTACGCGCTGTTGTCCTATTAGCACAGATTAGGAGACGGTAACTAGTTGAGATTACCATATTCACCAGGTCGTTTTTCAGAAGATAGATAAGATACCCATATAATCACTTTCCTGTGTTTTTCGAGGGAAAATTAGTTTTGACAATCTTTCTACTCGGTAGTGATTTCAAGTAATTATGCAGCATACACACGTACCGAATGATTGATTTTCCTCTGGTAACTAAGTGTGATCGGTAGGAATCGATGGCAGATAATATATTGTATTTGAATATATCTGTAGTAAGTTCGAAGTATTTATTCGAAGTTTGGCTATTTGATAAGGGTGGGATGGACAATAAAATAGCCATGATTGCTCTGCGCAGGAGAATTTTCAGGAAAAATGTTCCAACTTCTAATGCACAGCAAAGCTGCACAGCATCGCTAAATCTGTGCAGCAAATTCGTTGCCTAAATACCCATGAGAGTCTTTGAAGAATGTACTTTACAGTAGAAACTATGAGGTCAGGAGGAGACTGGCCACGAGTAACCACGAGTAACCAACTTTGTTCTTAAAAGATAATTAGATTAAATTTTTTTTTACTCATAGTGGTTACTCGTGGTTCCTCGTGGAAATTCCTCCTGAAGAGCAATTTTAGCCATTATAACTACTTCAATGCCTAGAAATCTATTATGTTTTCTATCCTTTTCACTTTGTTCTTTGTTTCCATGCGTTTCGATAAAGGAGAGAATAAGGAATCGTGCCCGACACGCCACATCGCACGATGTCAAGGCACCGTTAAGCGTGACACGAAATGTCACGCACTGAAAATAACGAAATCGCCTTATTCTAAAGGTTAAAGGAAATAGAATGCACACAAGATTGGTGAGGAACAATTCTGTTTATTTGTCAAAGAAAGATTCATTGACCGTAGTAAACCAGTTACAGATCCACTTAAGAAGAACAATCTCCCTACATTTAGTACTCCAACTAAGAAGGCTGTATCGAAAGACCAGGCAAAAGTCAAACTGTTGAAAGAGGACTGTTCCTTATTTGGACGGCTGCTTGTCAAACCCGTGACGGAAACCTGGATGAGTTTTTTTCGTATGAAAATCAACCTTGGCCACCATCCCTTTCAGACCAGGGACAGCTGCAAGGAGGACAAAAAGCCAACTTGCTGAAGTGCCTGCCACAAGCAACCTCGCCAGTATCGACACCTTCAGTAGATGCCGTAATTCTCGATGGAGCGGTTATTGTTCAAATGCTGGAGCCAAAAACATCATGCACCTTCTGCGAATACTTCAGTATAGTATTTGCTCCATATGTCCTCAAGCAACTGGAGAATGCCAAGCGTGTTAACCTTGTGTGGGATGTCTATCTAGATGATTCATTAAAGAAATCACTGCGAGACAAGCAAGGTGCAGGACAACGTCACAAAGTAATGGGATCTACAAGAATTCCAAGCGACTGGAAAGGTTTCCTGAGAGTCGATGGCAGCAAGGAAGAGCTATTCAAGCTGCTTGCAGACAAGGCATGTATAGATTTAAGATGTTTGCCTGCTTTGTCAATACTTATCATAGCAATAGATCAACAGGATATGTTCACTAGAATACATTAGTGAATCCATTACTGAAATTATCTATGACATAACCTATTTCAGATCGTTTCATTGGCACTTCCTGAAGACAAAAAGGTTTACTCGACTCACGGTAGCAGTGTGCTAACTTCCAGCAACAGATCTGAAATGAGCAACCTTGCGCCGTGCACCCACAAAGAAGCCGACACTCACCTGATGATCTGCACTCTTGATGCGTCATTAAGAGGTCATTGGCGCATCAAGATCAGAACCAACGACACAGATGTGATTGTTCTCGCCCTTTCAGTTGTCAGCACACTCCCGTTGATGAATCTTGGATAACATATGGTTCAGGGAAGAATGTGCAACACATACCTGCGCACGTCGTCGCTTCATCCTTAGGTCCCTCTAAAGAGTTCGCGTTGCCAATGTTCCATGCCTTGACAGGGTAAAACACAGTTTCATTCTTCCGCAACTGTGGAAAGAAGTCTGCATGGGATGTTTGGAACGTCTTTCCCGAGTTGACCCCAGTTCTATGCGCTTTGAAAGCTTCACCAAAGATTATCAGGGAAGAATCACTTGCTGTCTTGGAAAGGTTGTGGTACTTCTCTATGACCGAAAAAGCAGTCTACTGAAAGTCAACGAAGCACGGCAGGAGCTATTCTGCAAGAAATCAAGGGAATTTGACAGCATATCGCCAACTAAAGCAGCGCTTGAGCAGCACATCAGACGAGCAGTACTTCAGGGAGCTCATACTTGGGGCCAAACCCTCTTGTGTCAGCCCACACTTCCTAGCCCTGCAGACTGGGGATGGCAGCATCAAGCACGTGGCTGGTCACCGTATTGGATGACTCTTAAACAAGCAAAAGACACCTGCTATGAACTTATCCACTGTGGATGTAAAACTGCATGCAGGGGGAGATGCAAGTGTATGAAGGCTAATCTGGTGTGCACCGGCCTCTGCAAAATGTGGCGGAAATTGCCAACAGCAATAGTTAAAGAACACTCGAGTGATAAAGTATATATATGTAGGGTGTATATAAAGCCTGCTGCAAGATATGTAAGCCTCGAATTTGTACAAAGATAATAGGTTTTGACTCCTAGAGGCAAAACATGATTGATATGTTTTGTGTAAGGTATCAACTGCTGCAAAAAGAAAGCCTTTATCATCTATATAGCAGAACAAATTGTGCGCATATGATTGTTTCAATCATCGTTATAAAGCCCATCGCACAATATATAAGCCTCAGAATTGCACTTGAGGGATAGTTTTTGAGTTCAAGAAGCACAAGTATTGTTAGTCATTTTTGTGTTAGATATGAACTGACATTAAAAAGTTCTGAGGAAAGTCCATACTTGTATTTGTATTTCTCTATATAAGTCTAACGGAAACATGCCAAATTGATGTCTTCAAGTTTCAGTTCATTGCAAGATGGCTGTTACAGTTATGCATAGTGTGTGTTAGGAGTTGCGTTTTACATTTTTGACAAAATATGTAAGCAAAAACCGAATCCCCTGCAATTACACTCCATAAAACATTGAAAAATCGTGTAATCAAAATTTCACCACAGGGTGCCCAAGCCTGATAAAAAATGTTATGTGCTATCTCCAAATCATTATTTATTATTTATTTAGCTTGTTTGAAGTGCTTTACCTACTTATAAGTGCATTTTACGGTGGACGTTTTATCATTTTGTTTGCTTTTGTTTTAGTCCTGGTCTTTACAAAGTTTCCTGTTGGACCTGATGAGGATGAGGCCAAGTCCTGGCGCACCGTCAAAACAAAGATAAACGCCAAATGTTGAGCACATAGATTTGCTTGTCCTGGCTGTATCAAACATTTCCGCCTAGTTAGGTTTCACTTTCTCGTTTAGATGTATTGCTCAATGTAGCTTTCTCTCTTGATGTGTTATGACAAAAGATTTGCTTTCCGTGTTCGATATGTATTTACAATTGCTTGCTCTCTTGTTTGATGTAGACCTTAATGTTTAGAACTTTCGTTTTCCATTACATTCTTTCTTTCAGCCTGGTACTTTTAGGTATCCTAGCAATAAATAAAATAATAGGTGGTTTATATTTTGCCTCTGTTTTTAAGTTCCATGAGACAAACGTGGGAATTACATTTTAATGAGAAATTACTCAACAATTATGAACTATCCAAAGGACTGGGACTGAGCAACTGTCGCCATTCAAGTGCAACATCGTCAGGATCAATCAAAATAAAATGCAGCAAACAGGGAAGTAGGAGTAAAAATTCTCACGTTTAGTCAAGATATGATCAACAGGGAAAATGTATGGCCTTTCATATTTAATAAGACCAAGAGCTAGACCAGAGCGAAGACTTCAAACGTGTGCAGGTGAATGTTAGCGTACTGGAGTGTACTATGGAAAAAAATAAAGATTCATTCATTAACAAAAAAATTCTTAAAACAAATCATAGGATAAGGAACATGTTTTTCTTAAATTAAAACATTTATATACTGTATATACACAAACTAGATTGATAATTTTTAAGCCAGTAAATCGCATTTACCATTTCCGGTAAGACAAAGTGCTTGCGAAGCAACCAAAGGTAAACTTTCTGTTCCAGTTAATGGAAATCAACAAGAAATGTTGGACTCTTATTCTACGGGGTGGCTTTTTAAAACAACGTTGTTGCAAGAAGCCAAAAGGCTTTAAGCAAAGACACAAGGTAATATGGGTAAATGAAATCTGTCTTTGTTCTGCTGTTAAAAGCTGACTTTCTTCGCAATATGCCACCATTTGAAAGTGTCAAGGAATTAAGTGTCATTGTCACTAAGGACCAGGCAGGGTCCGGGGATCGAGGTCGGCCGATTACCTCCCAATTTTCAGCATTTTTTCTCTATCAGATAAGATTACGATCGGTGGTATTTTTAGTAAAATAAAATTAATTTCTTAGAATTTTGACCACCCCCCTAGTTTTTGGTGCTATTTTGCCCACGTGAGACGGAAAATTTGGGTAAACTTCCACGACACATTTTACTTACTTGGTATTAGCCCTATTCATTTATACGAACTGTACATACTTTCCAGCCTATAACCAGCTCATGTCTCCAATATAAACGAATTTGGTTAAAAATAACTTACTTTGGAGCGCTTCCAAATATCATCACTTCGTGGCTATCGCAAGTAAGAAGAATTTTGGCAATTTTCCAATCTGGTTTTCTCTAAAGTGCGGCAGTTTATATCCAGATCAAAACTATTTTTTATTAGTCTGTCATAAAGTCTTTACAAATACACAAACTCTTATTTGGCAAGTTAAAATCTCGTCGCGTGAGCTTTCTCACTACTTTAACCTAATTTCCTAATTTGCATAATTGTCGTTTTTCCCGGAAATATGTCACGCTTGATTAATTTACGACATATTCCCGGTGTTTGTGACTAAGAGCAACACATTACTTTTTCAGATAGGTGGCCTGCATATTATACTATACTTCACTGTCAAACTCTTTGAAATATTGAGCGGTTCTGTTATTTGGTAGAAGTACACTTCAGGGAAAGATAATTTTCCATCCCTTATCTGATTATCTGCAGACAGCTGTCCTGTTCAGCTGATTTTGCTGTTTTCAATATGGATGTTAGTTTAACTTGTTCGTTCAGTTCTCCTGATTCTGCCTGTAGTTTGGAGGGCACGGGGTCGCAGGTTGTACCCCTGTTGGCGTGCAAGCTAGACATCACTGCACATCTACTAAGCCTGGGAGTCAGCTCAGGGCAACTGCGAACCGGAGACGAAAACGTTAATGAGGTTGACCTGATCCTGAATAGAGCTGGATACTTTGTTACAACCGATAACGAGAAAATGTCAATGACAATATGCCCGAGACACAGGAAAAAACTAACTACAGACTGGGCTGGCAGAAAGAGCAACACATGCTCGTATCCAAGTCATCGAGGACCGCGGAAAACTATAAAGAAACCGCGCCGCGTAAACGCCACCTTGTCGGAAGAAATTTATCAATTTCACCAAGCCACAGTTCCCATTGGCTCGGGTAAGTACAAATCGGGTGCAGCCACACCGCAGCCTTAATACTTAGAGTTGTAGTATGGACTTCACTGGTAAATACAAACGAAACCTTTATTTCTAAGGTACTTATTTTACTTTGTGCTTATGTATATGGTTAGTACATAAATTTTATTTCTTTATCGGAATATGCTAAGGGAATGAAGCAAAACGTAATCCGATGCCATTGCTTTTTGTATTTGAATGAGCTTTTCTCTTTTAGTCTACTCGTTTAAATATACAAAGGCATTGCCTAATTCTGTTGCATTGTCTGATATCCTTCTGACTTTTTCGGAAAAGGGGAGGGAGAGGGGACGTTGGGGTAGTGTTTCGAGGTGGATTGAAGTGGTAATTTGCTAATCAAGCACCCCGCCTGCAAGATGACGCCAAATGGGAGAGGACGGGGGAAGAGGAGAACTAGGAGGGGGAGTAGAGGGAATGGGAAGTTGGGTGGGGCTACAAGGGACGCCCAAACACTCCTTATTTCACTCACCTTCCTTTCCTTAGCTGTTAAGAAAGCAAATTACCGCACTTTAATTTGGTCTTACGTGAGTGACACAAACTACAGTCAATGGACATATAGTCAGGGAGCAAGTGTCGTAAAATTAAGTCCCGTGGGAAATTAATGCTTAAAGCAAGCCACTGGTCTAGATATGTTGAGGGGACCTTAGTGAACATGAAAAATGTTGTCGGCAACTTTGTGACCCGCACCGGCACGATTCGCGGGGGATTAAAACACGTCTCATACAATATCAGCATGGAAACGAGGCTACATCTTAAATCGTCTTTATTCCCTCTTATATGTCAATATTTCATCACCAAATTGTTAGAATAGCTTTACTCTTGCATTACACACACTTTCAGCTGGAAATTGTGATCACGTGACCTAAAGCATGAAAACGAGGCTAAATCCAAAATGTGCCCTTTTTTCGTAAATTGTTTCAAAATATCACTACAAAAGTAAGTTATAATGAAGAAGAAACATTTCATAGACTTTCTCACGTCAAAGACTGAAACCTTGTACCACTTTATCACTTGATTAAAGACATGAAAAAGAGGCTATATCTCCTATCATCAATGATTTAAAAATTACATTTTTCATAAACTCAGTTTTTCTTGTGTTGTGTTCTAAAACAATATAATAAAATGAAGCCATATGAAATAACTATTTTCTAAGCTTATTGGCTCTTAAACTAAGAATTTGATGAAATAATAACAAGCTTGAAAACGAGGCTCTCGTGGTCAGCGGTTTTTTGCAGCAAAATACAGGTCCGCCATTTTAACTTGCAGTTGAAATAGAGAAGACCGATGGTCTTTTCGTTTGAGTTTTTTTGATGGATATCGACCCTGATCCTGACCCTGACAAAGAACAAAAATCAGATCTAAGTTTATGTATTATATGTCAAGAAAAAAATGATGAAGATCTAGTTGAAAAGCCGAATTCACATGAAAAAACATTGGAGTCGATAAAGGAGTGGGCCACGTATGGTGAACGAAAGTATGTAAGAAGTCGTGACAACCTATCCTTCTACTCTCTGGAGGATCTAAAGGAAAAATCATCATGGCACAGAAGTTGCTATAAGAATACAGTACATTCTGGGATGCTGAAAAGAGCCAAAGAGCGTTATGAAAGGCATTTAGAAGGCCCAAACGAGATGAGAAGAAAGTCATCTATAACAGTTGAAGACAGTCAACAAATAACACGATCAAAAACTATTCCATATGATAAAAATGTTTGCTTCTTTTGTGAGGGTGATGCTGGGTATAGACAAAGTCTCCATAGTGTATTGACATCTTCAGCTGGCGAATCTCTTCGTGCTGCAATTGAAATGTCTTCAAATGATAAACTTCGAGTAAAGTTAAGCTCTGCAATCGACCCTAGTGATGCCCATGCTATTGATATTAAATATCATGGAAAGTGTTGGGTTAATCATGTAACAAGTGTGCTACGTCGAGGGAAATCTCAAGCACCTGCAGTATCTACCGATCAACCAGTTAGTCGTAGAGCAAGTAAAGCCGCAG